TGATGAATTTGAGAGAGTTAGAGCTTACAATTTGGATTGGGAAAGAGAACATCACCTTTGTGTTGAATTGGAACTGCTTGTCCGCTATCTAGCATGACTTCTTCAGTGGAGTTGACTAAGGTCGGATATGAAGCGGGTGGTTGCACTGGAGTCTAGAATCCATTCCTTGAACGTAGCATTGAGGGCTTGAGCTGGAATTGTGGGTGCATATTCAATATTAGTCCTATGCCAACTGATTGATGCAGAATGACCAGTTTTATGACATATTTGACATATTATGTTGGATTGAGTTGATGCCCTTCCTCCTCGCGAACCATTGGAGTAGCCTTCTGTTTGATTTGTTGGTTGATTTATGCCCCTTCCACTAGTGAAGTGTGAGTTGTGTCCTCAGGATGCATTAAGCGTCATGGGAGTTTCGGTGGTAGGGAGTTTCTTTGCATTTTCGTTGCTGATATTGATCTCCTCGCTACAAAGAAATGAGTAGAGTTCATCCAAAGTTATAGGTTGGAAGGCCATTGAGAATATACAAGATGACATCTTCTTGATCCAGGTCGAATCTGGCAGCAGTGATGTGATCTACCAGAGTTCAGGTTTTCATTAAGTATTGTGACATAGTTTGATCCTTCAAGGATATATGGTGCAGTTCGTTTTTTAGTTGAATCACCATGGTTCTGTTCGTAGGTTGTAATGTGTGCTCTAGGGTTGCCCTAATCTCTATAGTAGTATGGAAATTAATGATGTGAGGAAGAACTGTGGGCGAGATCATGGATTATAGAATGGTCGCTAGGTTTTGATCAATAAGATTCACTTAGAATGGGGGGTTTTCGATTCCCTCAGGATTATTCCAGTTGAACTACGGGGTACACTGATTGTTTCCATCAAGAAATCCAGGAAAACCATTTATACACATAGAAACTGCACGGGACACTAAACTCCTTCCCTGTCCTTATGGTATCGAAGTTTACCTAAGAGAAGAGGAATGTGCATCCCGATCCGTTAAGTCCTTGGCTCATCATTCCCACATCTCTTATACCATAAAGACAAGGAAAGAGTTCCTTTGGCAGGGATGAAAACTAGAGGGAAAAGTAACATTTCATTAATTTTTATCTACTGTTTATATAGTATAGTACAGAGAGTATATATAGGCCATGTGGAATCTTCTAGAGTTGTTGCTATATTATCACCTGCTGCAATTCGGTTGTGTTTTGATTTGTTGGCGTTATGGACCACTAGTGGTGGTGCTATGTCTAACAAAATCAAAATATTATGAGAAACCATCGCCATTCAGTATAAAAAGGGAAATCTACATACCTAGAACACAATTCTTATGCATTTACATATCTCACACCTAAACTTTCATGTTTACATACATAGCACTTTGAAGATTTAAACCTCAGCATCAAAAGATGTATTTCACTTTTAAAAAGTATTAATAGCGCTATTTTTTATGTGATATTAAAGAGTTGAGTACTATGTGCCTAAATATGAAAGTTTAGGTGTGAAATATGTAAATGCATAAGAGTTGTGAGTTGTGCATATAAGTGCCCCTAAAAGTTCAATTTTTTAAACCAACCAACGTTTCAAAACCGTAACTTACCTTTGCCATGCCTGAAACTACTTTATTCTCTTTAGTGAACTTTCCAATGCTGAATAAGCAGCTTCATCACTCAAACTCTTGCTCTCCCTCGCATAATCAAACACCTCATAGGCTGCTGCAATCTTATTCCCCCTACACAGAGACCTCAAAAAAGTCGCATAAGTGGGACTCTCCAGCTTCATTCCCCCATCAGTCATTGTTTTGTACAGCAGAACACCCTTATCTAGGCTCCCAGCCTTGCAGAGCCCCATAAGCAGAGCATTGTAGGTAAACTCATTAGGGCTGCAACCCCTCTCCTCCATCTCCCCAAGCAATTTTAAAGCCCCCAAAGTGTCTCCTTTCCTACACATTCCGCTGATAAGAGAAGTATAAGTAGCAATATCAGGAAAAAAACCTGTGCTTGCCATCACATTCAAGAATTTCTTAGCCTGTTCAATCATGCCGTACTTAGATAATCCATAGATTAACGTGTTATATGTGACGAGATCCGGCTCGATTCCTTCATCCTTCATTTTGTTGTAGACGTCCATCACCTCCCCGCACTGGTCCAACATGCAGTAAGCTTTCATGATGTTGTTGTAAAGATAGGAATCCGGCTTGATGCCGGAATGCTTCAGAACGCTGAGCAGGCGCGTGGCTTCCCGGAGGTTGCGGCTACGGCAGACTGAATCGATGAGGATAGTGTAGGTGATGCGATCAGGGAGAATATTGGCGGAATTGCGGAGGTCTTCGATGAACGAGTAAACAACGGAGAGGGAGAGGGTTTTAGCGAGGCGGCCGACGAGGAAGTTGTAAGTGAAGGGATCGGGATGGAGGGAGGAATTGCGGAGGAGGAGATTAGCGGCGTCGTCCTCGCGGGAAGCGGAGCAGAGTGCGCGAATGGCGAGATCGGCGGAGGATGAGTCCGGGGGGAAACCGGAGGAGGACATGAGGTCGAGGAAAGTGAGAATGGGGGAGATGTCGCCGATGGTGGGCTGGAGGCAGGAGTGGACGAGGAGGATGTGGTAGGTTGAATGGGTGGGGGAGAAGGAAGGGAAGCGGAGTGAGAGG